AGTATGGAAAATTTCACTTTGATTACAATTGTAAGAATCCTGCAGCCAGCTTGGCCAGTAACCATGCTGGATGGAAGGTTCTGGGAGTTGTGGTAAATTTCAGGAAAAGTTGCATACAAAATAAATGTGCATTTTCATGAGGTTTTTCTTTTCTTTTCTTTTCTTTTTGTAATGCAGATGGAATGAGAAATTATATGGAATGGACTTTGGATTGAAGACATGTGAAAATGACATGGACCAGAAGTAGATATATTCATCCGTCCTTCACACCAGCTGCTCATATTATGTACAGTGACAGATTGTGTGAAAACCAGCTGGTGCTGATATACCCACAGTATCTGATATCCCTTTCATATAAGGCAAAGTTAAATATTAATCTGTCTACAATAATTCCCAACTTCCTCCTTCAACATGAATGAATTAATTAGCTATTTGGACCACGTTTCTTTTGTTTCTGGCAAGCCCTCCAATTTAGCTGCATGAAAAAGGCCTCCTTTAATACACACATTAGCAGCTTTGGAGAACCACAACATTGGAGTTGGCAGACTCTCTCCGAGTACAAGGATACACTGAAGATACACTGAAAAACTACCAGTGATGATTCTCTGCTTCTAATCACGTAGTTCATTGAACCATACAGATAACTTATTTTAGTGCAAAGTGGACTATTTTAGCATGTTTCTTGGGATATAATGGCATTATATTTATCTGGTATGGCCCAAAATATGTTGAAAACAATGGCTTAAATCTACTTGTTAATCTAAACAAGGGGAAGAACCCCTTACATAATTGCTGATTTACCCAGTACTCATTAAATAATGGGGTTTACTTGGAATAGGGATACGATGGCTTAGTGGTTAAGATGCCAATTCTGATTATTGGAAGATTGGAAGGTTAGCAGTTCGAGGCCCAAGTGCCATATGATGGGGTGAGCTCCTGTCACTAGTCCCAGCTTCTGCCAAACTAGAAGTTCAAAAGCATGGAAAAACAAGTAGATAAATAGGTACCACTTCAGTGGGAAGGTAACAGTGTTCTGTGTAGTCATGCTGGCCACATGATCACAGAGTTGTCTTTGACAACAGTGGCTCTTTCACTTGGTAATGGAAATGAGCACCACCCCCTACAGTTGGTCATGACTAGTTGGAAGTAACAGTTGGATTTAATTCACTGAAAAGTAACAGTGGAAAGGAAGATTGAAATACAATGAATTAATTTCATTTGTAGGACAACACTTTGGTTTGAGCACATCCTCCTTTCCAGGGAAGGTATGTGGTGCCTTCTGGCATCAGTTACAGATCTTTCCCTAAGCCTTGCCATTTTAAAAAGTCTTTTCCCCATGGTTTTAAGACTTTCTCTCTGGGTGTTTTCTTTCTTGTCACATTGCCTTTTTAAATAATTAATGCTTTTGAGAGAGAAAGCATACTACCTGGAGAATGTTTTGTTAACTGGTGATATTAAATGGTGAAACCAACTAACACATAAATAAATGACTATTGTGATATCAAAGTCCGGACCATCCATGCTATATTATCTTCAACTTGTGTGTATGTACAGATGTGAAAGCTGGACAGTGAAGGAAGCTGATGGGAAAAGATGTTGCCTAAGACCAGGGCAGGTAGATAACCATATGAAAGGTGGAGTGAGTTATGGGATGTGGTGTGTGTGGGCTGAGAACCAGAAAGGAGATGTGATAAACTGTCCAAGTGCATCCTCATGAGGCTAGGGTGTTAACAAGTGTTATAATATACATAGTCTGACAGGATGCCATTGTCTCTGTTCAACCTACTGCTGAGGAATTAAAGTTTGTACAGGCTGTACAGATGGGCAGGAAAAGGTGGCATAAAGCTGCCTTTTCCCTAAGCTGCAGCAATAAGCACCACCTGTCTTGAGGACACCCCAAATGGGGAAGGAGTAACCACACTGGGGAGAGGTAGTAAATGCAGCTTTTCTAAGGCTATATTGAAGCCCTACCAATTGCATTCCAATTCAGTTGTTTTTCTTTCCAATCTTCCTTTGTAGTTTTGTTTTGTTTTTTGTCCAATGGCTACTGTGCTGAGGTCTGAGATGGAATGCCCAGGAAGAGTGAAATGTTCTGCAATAGGTTTTTGTGTATTCCCATTACTAATATCTGATTTATGTTCATTTATCCTCTGGCACATTTATCTTCTGACCTGTCTGCCAGATGGGCATTGTTGACAGAGGATGGCATATTTCAAATTAGAGGATGAGCAAGCAAAAGTGACTATATATTGTGGGTTATGTGATTAGATCCTGTGATGACATTTTCCAAGTAAATGTTGTGAAACGGACACTCCTTTACCTTACTACTTTTCCTTAAGATGGCAGCCCTGGGTTTTCTTATCCCATCGTTGCCACTAATTTTGTCATGTACCAGACCATTTTTATTGATTGTTATTAGAGTGGATATTTATTCCAGGTTCAGACAAGCTCGTAAGTGAGTAAGACTTTATTTCAACAACGGTTTAACAGTATTTCACTTATTCAGTTGGTATATGCACTTGTTCTTGCTACAATTTGTTACACAATTCTTTCTCAAGAGAACACCAGTTACTCTCTCTTAAGACCCACATAGTTCTGAACTTCTATTATCTAGTCTAGCTACCCAAGCTAAATATATCCCACAGGATATCAAATTCCAGTAACCCCCTTACTTGGAGTTCTGTACTGGAACTAAGAAAAGATGTGGCAAAAACAATCAGAGGATACAATGCAAAATCAGACACAGTTATTTCAGTAAGACTCCATGGATATCATAACCTATGGATATCACCATAATCCAAGTATAGGCACCGACCATAGAGGCAGAACAAGAAGAAATTGATAGATTCTATGAAGGCGTACAAGAAGAAATTGACAGCACACCAACACAAGATGTCAAGCTAATCATTGGAGATTGGAACACAAAACTTGGAAGCATAGATGAATCAAAAACAGTAGGCTGATTTGGATTAGGCAAAAGAAATGAAGCAGGTGAGCATTTCATAGATTTTTGTGAAGCCAACAACCTATTCATTGCAAACACATTTTTCATGCAACCAGAAGGAAGGCTACACACATGGACATCATCAGATTGTCAACACAAAAATCAAATAGATTGTATAATTGGAAGTAAAAGATGGCA